GGGTCGTGACCCGATGTGGTCGGACTCCAGACACGCAATAAAACGAAAAACCCATGATTTGATAGGGATTCTGCCTTATCCTTAGGGATTAAGTTATGCCTGAAGTAACTAGATGACCGAGACGCTAATATGTTGCAGTCGTTTTTTAAACAGAAAAAATCAAGACTCGCTGAAAAAAAAAACACATCGGATCGAGTCCAGACTCTTGAAAACATTGACAAGAAAAAGGACTCTTGATTCAATCAGATTTAAGCTTAAATCAAAAGGAAATCCGCTCAAATTAAGAGGCTTGGTTCTTGATTTAAGCTTAAATCTGATTCAATCAAGAGTATTTTTTCTTTTCGATGTTTTTAAGAGTCTGGACTCTAGATCCAATGTTTTTTTTTTCCAGTGCTCGTGAGGAAAAATATAGGAATGTGCGTCAAGAGTCACGCGTGGTTACTTTGGAAAACCTCTAAACCTATTTTTCCAATTCTCTAGAATTTTCATTGATTTATTATTCTTTACGTTATTTTGTGCGAATTTCTACGATAATTCTGACTTCCAAGTACTATCGGGTCAGATAAACGGAAGCTTTTCCTCTTTCATTAGAAAGATTTCGTGTGAATTACGAAGGTGATGAACTACGAAGATGAACTGAGTGTTTTTTCTCGACATAATCGAGACCGAACAGTATGTGAATAGACTGCACTGGAAAAAAAAACACATTGGATCTAGAGGCCAGACTCTTGAAAACATTGACAAGAAAAAATACTCTTGATTCAGACTCTTGAAAACATTGACAAGAAAAAATACTCTTGATTCAATCAGATTTAAGCTTAAATCAAAAGGAAATCCGCTCAAATTAAGAGGCTTGGTTCTTGATTTAAGCAAAAATCCGATTGAATCAAGAGTATTTTTTCTTGTCGATATTTTTTTAAGAGTCTGGACTCTAGATCCAATGTGTTTTTTTTTTCCAGTGTGATTCAGGGGTTAAGTTCTTGTATTCCTGTCAAAATGTCGTGCCGCTCTTAAAAAGCGCGCCAAAACGATCGATATCAAAGCAGTACATTTCTTCTAAGTGCGACCATCGGATACATCGAATGACGCAACCACTATATCAGTCTATGTCAAAAACATAGGATTTCCTATTCACGCCACTAGAGGAGTCATGGCCACGTGTCAGAGGGATTGAGGGTCGCACTAATTTTCGCGGCAGAACTGTTTTTCTTCCTTATCTCGACACTTTCACTCGAGAGGGGTGTCAGCGGAAGGTCTTTTGATACGTCAACAACCTAAAAGACTACAAGCTGGGTTCATTTTCTTCCTGTCGACCCCCCTCCCCCGCTCAGACCTCACCGCTTTCCCGGGACCCCTCGTTTGTCGCGGGTAAGTTGAGGTGTTAACGCAGTTAGGGCGAGATAAACAGGGCAAACATGCGTCGGGTCTGCGGGGGAGGTTCGTTCAGCCGCGTAAAAACCGCGGATTTCCATTGGGTTTCTATCGGGGTTGCGTGTTTCCGTCCGGGCTGAAGGACCAAAAATGTGTTAACGCCGAGGTGGTGAGCAAAAATCGCGTCTTTGATGCATAGGGTTTTCGATAGGAGTTGGGTGATTGTATCCAGTCAGACGTACCCATAAATGGAAAACTCGTATTTATAACTTGCGAGCGACACCTGACACATTAAACAGCTTCTGTTGGTACATACGAAATATATTAACTAACAATAAATCAGAAAATCACGCTGTAATTCATTTATTGTCCTGATCCCCGTTAATATATTGTAAATGTAGGAGTGTCGCAATCTCAGCAATACTGATGCTAGAGATTATTTACAGTGAAATTTAATCCAGTTGTGTTCTGCTATGCCACCGTGCTAGAAAAGAACGCCGTATGAACCTTTGGACGTTGAAAGATTCCACTGCCTAAACACGAATTTTCGACAAAATTTGTAAACCGTTTTTTTTCCGATTTTTGGGAGAATTCCATTGGTAATTTGAATAGAGTTTTTGTCTGAGAAATTCAAGGAAAGTATTTAGAACCAATTTAAAAAATGAATAAATCCTGAAAAGAAATTACACTGGAAAAAAAAACACATTGGATCTAGAGTCCAGACTCTTAAAAACATGGACAAGAAAAAGTACTCTTGATTCAATCAGAATCTGGCTGAAATCAAGAACCAAGCCTCTTAATTTAAACGGATTTCGTTTTGATTCCAGCAAAAATCCGATTGAATCAAGAGTCCTTTTTCATGTCAATATTTTCAAGCGTCTAGACTCTAGATCCAATGTGTTTTTTTTTCCAGTGTCGGAAACATTCGAATGTTGTACGGCGTTTTTCCTGCAACCTACCCTGCCAGTTCGGTAGCGTACCACGCTGAGCTAAAAATGCGTATCTACACATTCTACCCAAGTTACACAACGCTACCCTGCTCAAGGGACCGAAAACGTGCCCTGTCGCGCCATGCTGAACAAAAACCGCGGATCTACGTTAGGTTTCGACTGGATTTAGGCGGTTTCTGCTGAGGCGGGGTTTCGGGTGACGTCACCGGGTGCGTTTTTCCACCCCTCGCTCGACCGGCGTCGAGTCGTTGCACCAGTGCACCACACACACCATACGCAATTGCTCCTCGCATGAATCGCGGCTCGGGCTCTGCGACGCAGCTTTGCCAAAGCTGAGTCAACTCGATGAATCATAGCTGTCCTGGGGAGGGCTCCCGACGCTGGAAACGCGGCCTTTTCATAACCTCTCGCCAGCTGCTGGGTCTGGCATCACGAGTTCAAAACAAATCCCGGATCCGAGCCTCTATTTCGGAGAGGCACCCACTAGGATTTCTCTCGACATTTTATTTTTCACAGATATCTGGTCCAAGATTACGCGGAGGATATGGATTCGCAAAATAAAAGCATGAACCAATTGACGTGATTCGATTGGCAGTTAATTTAAAAAAAAGAGGAAAAAAAAGAAAGAAAAAAAAAAAAGTCGATTCTATCGACAACCGTGAATCGAGCGGAAAATCAACAAATTGATCGACAAAGCCGGGGAAAAATTTAAAATTCCCTGACAGACGGAAAAAATAATTTACTGACATTTCCCTGACATAAAGGGAAAATATTCCCATTTTTTCGACACGGTTGAACTGATTATACATGGGTAAGAATTGGTTCATGTTCCAGGAATATGATGTAATAAAAAGGGTAAAATGTAAGGTGCCTAATAAACTTATGCGGGATATTTTTGCCTCATTTATAACATTTAAGAGACATCAGCAGAATTCTGGTAGGAATCTCCGCGAGAGTAAAATATGCAAAACATTTTCCGAAAAATTCGAATTTGCGATCTCTCTGATGTTTCCAAATTGCTTGCAAAATAAAATTTCCTGGCATGCCAAATTTTTGCGGATTCCCTGACAAAAAAACAAATTCCCTGAAATTTTCCGGTTTTCCCGGTCGCTAGACACCCTGATTGATGGGTGTTGTTAATGAAAACCTTAAAAACTGATTCTTTACCACAGCTTCAAAAGGAGAAAAATCGACAGTTGATCATTGACGTCTCGTCAGTGCTGAAGATCCACCCAAGAGTGTTTCCTCCTCGAAATGTGGTCTGGTTCCTCGGGTCCGAGGGAGGAGCCGGGATCCCGTGGCGGGAGCACTTAATTACGCCGAGAGGCGGAAAATAACGAGTGGAGATCGGGCAATGAGTCACTCGTCATCCGGCTCAATTAAGTCCGATTCTCAATCGATTGTTCCCGCGCGGGGGAGGGCGAGGGAGTCGACTGTGCAACGCCCGCTAATCAGCGAGAACAAACACGGGCCGTGTAACCGGTAAATCACCCACCCCTTCCGCGATCCCTGCCGGAGCTCCCTCGCTCTTCTCGTGCTGCGGTCCTGGCCCTGGTTCCTGTCGTCGCGCCCCCCCCCCCCCCCCCNCCGTCGTGTGCATTCGCGCCATGATTCATCGTGTTTATTTTCGGATGGAAAAAACACGCCGCCGCACATCAGATCCAGTCGGTGCGAGATGTCGGACA